AAGATATGAAGCAAAGGGAACAGCTACAGACAGCTACAGTAAGCCTCATGGACTTACTGCTGCAGAGTGCTGGAGGCTCTCATCTAGCTACTGCCCTGATGGTCAGTGAGAGCTGGGGAGGCAGGATTATCCCTAATACTGGATATAGCTCCTGGGAGACTACTAAGACTAAAGCTATAGATAGATACTGCAAATAGATACCTCTCAGGTTTACATTAAGACACACTTCAGAGGAGATTGGGTATATTTACCAAGTACAATGATGCACACCTTTAATTCCAGCACTTGGGAGACAGTGGCAGATAGATCTCCGTGAGTTTACACTAGCCTTGTCTACATAGTAAATTCCATGTCAGCCATGACAGGGAAACCCTATATCCCCACCTCCATCAAGAACAAGACAAACTTCCTTATACCTTCCTCAATCTTTAAGCATGGGCTTAGGAATCTATTTGAAGCCTGAAAAGGATCACTACAACAACATCATCAAAATCTCCATAAAAGGAACCGTCTAATCCAACTATTTTAGAGTCTGTCCCCAAGAGAACATACTCCAGAAGGGAATGTGAAAGAACAGGATGTAATTTTAGACAAAGTTCCAAAAGATTGCAGGCTGTAACTAAAACTGAAGTTTTAAGGTGTCAAAAGATTATCTTAGCGAGCATATTATAGATTCTGTATATTTTGAATTCCACTGTGCTTTTCAACTTTCTTCCAACTTGATCAAAAAGTTAGACCCTTATAATGAGTAAACTTAATGCATGTGTATCATTCAAAAAACTAATCATTGAACATTGTTACTCATGCAATGAAGACAAGAATAACTTTCTAACTCCACAGAAAGAATGAGCCCAATGTGGCGACAGAATGGGGTAAAGAAAGTGCATCCCACAGGTCTAAAAAACAGGTGTCCAGAAGAGAGAATTCCAGGGTCCTTGCATAGCTCTGGTGGCTTACCAGAAGAAGTCATGCTAAAGGCATGTGTCTGATAGGGTGTTTTCAGGCCAGATTATCTGGAGGTAGAAGATGAAGATTAATGTTACAGAGATGAAACAATATGAAGTCCAGTGACAGAAGTCATAATTGACAAGAATCCAGGAAACAGTACCAATCTTGAGATGCAACAGACACTCAAGGAGGAAGAAGATGTGAAGCTGAGCCTCACAAAAGAAATCCAAATTTACTGGATTGCACAGAGCAGAACTCAACACAATCCTGAAGCTCCATCTTGAAATGTTAAGTAGAAACTACGGCTCCACTCTGACAATCAATATAAAGTTAGAATACGGAGGTATAAGGCTTTTAAATGTTGTGTGATTCTTTTAAATTCCATATTTTTAAAATTACTTTTTATTTCATTTGCATTGGTATTTTGTAAACATGCATGTTGGTGTGAGGGTGTCACATCTTAGAGCTGCCATGTGGGTGCCGGGAATTGAACCTGGGTCCTCTGGAAGAACAGCCAGTGCTCTTATCCACTGAGCCATTTCTCCACCGTAAGTTCAGATTTGAATAGTGTTAGTTTAGAAACAGGAGATAAAGATGAGAATAGTGGTGCATGGTCAACCAGGGCTATGATAGTGAGACCCTCTCTCTTTCTCAAGTAACAGAGAGATACTGGCCAGAACATCTGTGGTGGCATCTTGTATCAGAGAGTGTTTACCCCTATTTTCTACCTAAATAAATTCTTGAGAACCTCTATCAGAATCTCCTGGATTCACACTACAGCTCCTGTTATTTGTTCTCTTTGAAATGCATTCCCACATGCATCTCAGGGCCTTCCTTCATAACTAATGTATTTTGTCCTTAGGAAAAAGTAATTATAAGCCACAAAATTGACCTTAACATGGAAAAGCGATTTCTGTTTTTGGTTACCATCTCAATCCTGAGGCTGTGTTTAGGAAGAGGCCCCTGTGAGCACAGGCCAGGAATATAATGGTCTGAATGCTGAATCATAGCCAGCAATTAAAACAGAAGTGAAGGGGAGGTTTTCACTATTGCTGATCTAAACACCGACTTTGACTTTAGACATTCACATAGCCTCCTGTACAAACTGCAGACTTACCCTTCATCTTCCTTGCCATTTCCACTGGGTGTTTAAGAACATTTTCAAATTTAATCTATAAAATATATTTCTGGATTTGAGCTCTGCCATCCTAGAATCTGTTCTCCATATGAATGCTAAAATGACCTTTATACAGTGACACTGGGCCACTCTGTTGCCTTGTTTGTCTAACCTATGACTTCCCACAATTAAGAATACAGTTCAGTACCCTAAGTGGTCATGGACTCTGCCCTCATCCTGACCACATGTTCTATTCATCACTCAACTTTTGTTCTTGGATCAAATCCACCTTGGTCCCACCCCAGGACCTCTTTATCTGCTCTTTTCTTTGATGTGTTCAGCTCTGGACACCCATGCTTGTCTTCTTCACAATACTCAGACCTCAGCTGCTATCTGTTTGAGTCTTGCCTGGCCTGTGTGGTTAAAAACTAGCCAAGTCCTAGCACTTATGCCACAGTATTGCTGTCCTATTTGATTTACTCTGATAATTTACATGATTAGAAAGTACCTAAGGGATCTGTTTATTGTTAATCCTTTCTAATTCATGAGAAGCCAGGATGCCACTATCTTATTCTCAGCTATTCACAATGGAGTTGCTAAATACAAATCAGCTAATGAAGAGGCTAATGAACAAGTAAAGCCAGTTTGGTTTTCTTCATTTGAAGATTATAATATGTCAACTTGTTTATATGCAATCCTCCTCCACAGAAAGGTTTTTTGTTTTTTGTTTTTTTAACATAAACAGTCCCTGTTCAAATCTCCTTCCTGGCACCAGGCAACCCCTGATTTAAGAGTCTATTATGCCAAGCCCAGGTAAGCTTTCTTTTGTTGTGTATTTGCAGATGGCTTCTCTTGTGGAATTTTCTTTAAAATAAAAGCACACCAACAGAGATGTGCACTGGTCCTTTTTTAACTCTTCTGAATCTTACTCCACTCACTGAATTTGGATCTCATCTGGCCAGAGATCCCAAATATGAGAAGGCTTTTCATCGACATGCCAAGTACCTCCTTTCCCCACCCTCCTCACTGGAATTCTTCATAAGAGGCAAAATGACACCTACAACAAGCCTTCCTCAAGACAATCAGCTATTATTTTTCCTTGTTCACAGTCTGTCTCGATCCATAAGAATTTAAGATATGTAAGAGAAAAGACTTTTGCTCTTCTCCACTATAGTATTATAGGAAGCTAGAGGACTGAATATACAGAATGAGTTCAACTAATTAAAGACTGGAATAAAATGATCATGTAATAAGTGGTGTGTGCATGTGTACATGTGCATGCAGTTTATATCTTTTGTTTCAAACACAGCTCTTATTCTATTTACTACTCTGGTGCTTTAGTGACATTAATAATATATGACAAAATCTACTCATTATTAAAGAACTGATGTAGTAACTCATAACAAGGAAACTAATAAGCTGCAAGGTTCTCTTTAAAATCAAGCTGCTCTGTGTATTCAGTGTGTGTACAACAAAGTTCCTTTTAATTGTCAACAGTAGTTTGGGACATGAAGGTAAACTTTATGACTTGAATTAATATGGTTATTTCTCCAATGGAACCTTTTGAGAATACTGAACTATACAATGAACACCAGAAGCTTCCCCAATTCCTAAAAGATGACTAGCATGGCAGCTGAATAACAGAACTTCAAAGATGGCTTGACTTTACCTGGTTACCTTGAGACTTCAAATCAAGCAATAATTCTATTTTAAAAAACGTGTCCTTCGGCTGGGCTTTGGTGGCTCACACCTTTAATCCCAGCACTTGGGAGGCAGAGGCAGAGGCAGGCGGATCTCTGTGAGTTCGAGACCAGCCTGTTTGTTCTACAAGAGCAAGTTCCAGGACAGCCTCCAAACCCACAGAGAAGCCACAGAAAAACCAAAAAAAAAGTGTCCTTCCATTTTATATTGTTAAGAGAAGGTAAAAACCATGGCACTGTTAAAACATTGGCTTATTCATGTGATTCAAACTGGGCTACATTCTGACTGAAGAATGGTTCCAGCATGCACTTGGAGTTTATAGACAGTGCTGGGAGAGGTACTAGTGAAAGTGCACAAGGCAGTGACTGTTGACTGCTTGGCAGTCAGTCCCACCCTAAATTCCTACAGGGCTGACCTCCCACACAGCAAAATCACTGTCAACACTTGGGAACACAGTTCAGACTGGCCACATTTTCCCTTACTTAAACTTATTTTAAAATCCAGTATTTGTCCAAAAGAGATTATGAATGTATCAATACACTCTGGGTATCCAATCTATGCAATACTTTCTTGCTTCTAGATAATTTCATGCCAGGATTTATCCTATTCTTCATTGTGTGATGGCAAACAAAATCTCATGACTTGATTTCTCATTAAGTAGAGGTCTAAGCAGCGATGGAGTTTTCAAGAGAAAAAGCAGTAAATCCATTCTAATAAATGTATACCTATTTCATTTCAGTAGTTTATTTTGTTTTGGTTTTTGTTTTTGGCAACGGGGGTTTAATCTGTGTAACAGCCATGGCTAGCCTAGAACTCACTTTGTAGACCAGGCTACTCTCAGACTCAGAAATCTGCCTGCCTCTGTCTCCTGAGTGCTGGGATTAAAGGTGTGTGCCACCATGCCTGGCTCATTTTAGTAGATCGTATTGTTTAGTAGATCTTATTGTTATAAACAGATTAAAACATCTCAAATTAAGTTTATGTAAAAGATAGATTTGGTTACTGTCTACTATTTTCAAATTCTGTGTTCAGAAAATCTTTCAATTTTGTACAACAGAAATGTAATAAGGACAGAATGAAGACAGTAAGTTTGACAGATGAGTAACTGAAGTAAAAGTTGGTGATAGGATCTAGTGTTGGGAGACTGAGACAGGGAGGGTGTTGCTAATGCAATCAGCTCATTCACTTTATAAAATGAGTGCTCTTAATTGGAAATAATGATTTCATAACTCACCTCTGCATACTTTAGCTTCAATGTTTTATGCATTTCTCGAAAACGACTGTAACGCCTGAATACAGTCCATGTCTCATCTAGGACAGAAATCTATTAGCAAGGAAGCAAAAACAAGTCAGCATTAATTACAAGAAAAAAGTAACTAAACTTTTCAAAACATAATTTAAAAATTAAATTAAAAGTGATTAGCATGTAAAATATCTCCACAATTGAAAACATTAATCTAGCTGCATAAATATAAGTTATAAATAGTAACTGTGCCCTACTAAATAGGCATCTTCTGCTCCCATGTATTATTATGAGTAGCACCTATGTAAAGCTAGGGGCATAAGACCACCTCTTAAAGGATCACAAGAGTGTTTCTTAATGTGCTGACAAGATGGCTCAGAGGTAAATGAACCTGTCCCCAAGCCTGAAGACCTGAGTTCCATCCTCGGGGACCCACACAGTGAAGAGAGTTGACTCCTGAAAGTTGTCTTTGACCTCTAAATGCATGCCATGAAACATATATTTTACCCTTCCCCCCTTACTCACGAATGCACACACGACACACACAGATACAGAGTCTAAAATAAATTCTAAATAAAAATATTACCAAAAATAAAACTTATCTCTTAACTCCCCATCTGGCTGGTAGAATTCCAGAGGGATACATTTTTGGGTACAGCAATGTGTTCCACATAAAATGTCTAGTGTTAGTGTGGGTCACCACAGTAGACAGGAGGGAAAGACAGAGGAGTATCAGAGATAAAAATGGGTGAAGAGAAGAAGAAAAAAGAACAAAGAGAATTAAGGAAAATATTTCATTGTGTTTGTGATTACTACCTTATATACACAACAATGGGTTTTGCATTTCTCCAGGTAAAAGGTTCAGGCCTTATGCTGGCCTGCCCCAGTTACCTGGCAGAAACCACTCAGGCAGTACCCTGGTCAGCCCATGGTTCCATGGGAACTAAGTCTGCACACAGGTGTAAAGGACCCCTTTAAAAGACAGACCCCTGCACACTTATGCTCTCTTACTCACTGTCTCTCTTACTTTCCTGTGTTTCTCTCATCTCTCCCCGACCTGGAATAAACTATGGTTAATGTACTCTCTAGTTTGTGTTCCATCGCACCAGTTCCATCTTGAGGTTTCTTTTCTAATTTTTAAACTTTTACAAAATAACACCATGTTTATCTGGTTTTCTTGGGTAAATGCAAGCTCTACAACACACCACACCCATAGGAGCTGGCGATTTTTGGCAGCCCCTACAATCACACCCGAGTACTACCATCAACCTTGTTTCTTAGCTTCTCAGGTCTATTTGACACTGTTCTGAGCTCCAGACCACAAATCCAGCAGGGACAACTTTCTCTGAATGTTACATAGGCATTTCCAATTCAACTTGGCACAGGAGCACACCCAACACACCCAGCTAACCGGAGGAGCTGCAGCCACCCTCAGCTGTCCTCCTCTTAATATCCCCATGTCTGAAGAAGCTGCTGGGGCTTGTTAGCACTTTACTTTGCTAAGAGAAAAGGACCTAACTCTGTACCTGTCACCCACACTCTGCATGAGTGTGGTAAATCTTCACCTCACATTAGAGAAATGTGGAGGAAACCTTAAG